ACCATGCGCTCTAATGGAGAAATGACTCGACTTGATTTATTGGCTCCGTTTTCTAACGAGTTCGTGGTCTCAATTTCTAGTTTCAAGTCTTCTTCCGTACACTATGATGTTCATTTAGTCAATTATGGTCCAATTTAGGGTAAAATAGACGATAACGCCGTGTGTGCTTTTGGGCGTGGCTACCTTATGATTCACTGATCACATCACTCTCAGTGAGTCTGTCGAGCACACAGCAGTTCAAACCGTCAAACTAGGATCGAATAACACAACAGTTTATATTCCAACGTTTCTTATAAGCCACACTTCAGGAGAATGATTCAATCTGAGCTCCCGTCCCCCCCCTTGCACGAATATTTAGAAAAAGTTTCGTTTCTTCTCCTAATGGTTGAACAAATTTGGAAATAATTCAATTAAAAAGAAAAAAGAAGTGGCAATTGTTTTCCTTCGCAGGCAATGCGATCTGAAATGTGTGACAGGATAAGTTCTTTACAAGGAAGTTAGTTTTATATCACAGAAAAATCCCCCTGTAATCAACACACATTTAAACGAAGTAGCAGTCCAACAACATCTGCGGCTGGTGTCACTATACCAGTTTCATGAAAACAAGCAGGGACTTGAACTGTTCGCGTAATTTGAAGGGTGGGGTCCTGGAAGAACTGGTGGTGTCTGATATGAGGGGTGCATAACCATTCGCCCGGAAGTAGCAAATTACATCACGTACAGTAAAAGCATCTGCGCAAGACCTACACATAAAAAAATACAGTTTTTTAAATGCAACACAACAGAGATACGTGAGCAGAACAATCGATGACATTTCTAATGAAACAGGAAAAACTCTTGGTCTAAGGAAAACCCTTCCAGTGTTCAAGTTTCTAATAAAGAATGGCTCTGGGAACAGATAGAGGGAAACTGGTGACATAAGTCAGGAAAAGCAAACAGGATAGTCATCACTGCGAGTTAGCAAGGCCAGTAGGAAATCACAGGCACTTCCTATTCTCGTGACTTCTCATGAAAAGCTCAGTAGTAACCACAAAGAAATATAGGTATCCATAGACTCCACCTAAATCTGTTCCCTCCCCGACAGCCAGAAACTCTAAACTGACCCAAGAGTTTAAAAACATTTACCTACTGAAACATAAAGAACAACAGCAGCTCTTAAGGTTACATAATTCACCATATGAGATTACTACAGTATAGTCTTGCACAGTTCTTCCTCTGTCTAAACCCAAAATACAAAAAGGAAGACCTTCTCTTACAAAGCCTTCCTTTTGTTTGAAAATACTGGTTTCCATACTAGTTCCTAGTTTGGTCCTTTCAGGTTTTGATAGCAAAACAAGCCTAAAACAAAGCTTCAAAATCTGCTGCTTTCTGCAGTGCATGCAAATAAAAAAAGGAATTAAGTTCACAGGATGCACTGCATACATAGTTTATATAAAGTTGAATCTTCAGTTGATAATTTAAGATTTAAAACACACTTCTATGGCCTAGTTGTCACTTCAACACTACTGATCTGCAACTTTAGACAGTGCTGAATGAGTAAGAAAAGTGTGGGGTGTCCTTAATAACCCCAAACACAAATATTATGTATACACATCGGGGGCGGGGCCGGGGCGGGGGGATTCACGGAGGTCCTTCCATATCAGGGCCTGTTTGGCGCAAGACGTGCCTAGCACCATTTAGGAAAGGGACAGAAGCGTCATACACCAGTGAAACAGGAACAAGGAAGCGCAGCAAGGTATCGTAACTATAAATCCCTTCTCTGTTTGCCCAAACGGGGGTCAAGACCTGTCTTCTCCTTATTGAGCCGATAAACAGGAGCTGACAAAGATACAGGCTGCGTTCGTCCAGTTGCAAGCGAGCACAACACTGCGACAACACAATATAACGCTCAAGCTAAATCGGCCGCGCCTGCAATTTACAACACAAATGGCTTCAGGCAACCTAATGAGACACCATGTTATGACAACCGCCTATATAAGATGGGCCGAATGCTTTGGCAGAGTAACAAGCCTCGTTTCTGGGCCTCGCCGGGAATGTTGGAAAACTGTGAGCTCGTTTAAGCAGAACCTATTTTACAACCGAGATAAAAACGCAAAACATTAGTACAATATTGTGCCACTTAAGCCGGCAAAACGACAGCAGAGAAAATCGAGGCCAACAAAGTGTTGGGCTGTGTCTGTGCCCAGAGGATTAGTAGCATTAGTGCTTTTTTTTTTTTTTGCATGGCTGAGGCCAAATGTTGACTATTTAAATTCACAACCCAGCAATTTATAAGTACGCTGGAGCCTAAAAAATAAAAAAATAAAGGTTTCTTTCTGTCTGGTAGCTTTAGCAGACTTGGCTAAACGTAACACAGTAAGAATAAAGCCTCGTACTTGTGCCAACTTATCCACCAACTAACGTCGACTAACTAATGTCAGCGCTTCACATATCACTTACCTAGCTTTAGGACTACCTTGTTGGCGTGAATCGTCGATGAAAAAAAAAAACACAACAAGATCTGTGGAAGGAAAACTTGACTCCTGATGGCGTTAGCTTAGGGTTAGCAGCCATAACGTTAGCCAAGAAAACGTCAATAGACAACTTTCCTTTTCTCGGCCCCCACGTCGTCAGCTGTTTGACGTTTTCACTAACTCAGACTTGTTACCGTGTCTGCCGCCGACGCAAGTTAGTTAAACATGTGTCATATGTAATCCCAGTCATGTTTGTGTACACATATGTGTGTATTTGTGTGGTCTCTCAGAGCTAGAGGCTCGTAGCTTCTCTCGATCCAGTCTGATGGACATTTCGACTGAACCCGGACTTGGTTGCTCAAAATCGGACACAGGGTGAATAAATACGGTTAACAGCTGGTCGACAAAAGAGGGGCCAGGGTGCGTTCAGTGTCCCGCTTCCCCCACCACCTTCTATAATTTCAAGTTGTTTCACTTACAATACTTTTTCTTCTTTCGCTGGTCTCATCGGCGGCGGCTATCTTCTTCTTCTTCTTCTTCTTCTTGGGCTCTGGCCTTCCCTTCCGGTTAGAGATTTTTTCCGGGAACGTCCCACTTTCTGTCAGCGGCTGTCCGACCAATGGCAGCAGTCTACACAGACACCACTGTCTGCAGTACGGGGGAGGTGTGCAGGGCTCTTTAGTGTCCTTATTTCATCAATGCATTGGTTTCATTTAAATATAATAATTAGTTAACGTTTATAATTTAAACCTGCACACTTCAAAATAGCTTCAAATTGGGTTTTTTTTAAGCACCACAGCCAAAATACCTATTAAATGTTGATATGTCTTGAATAAAAGTCTTCTTTTTTAAAACACATTCAGTTTCTAATACATCAGTCTCTTTAATTACGTTTTAGTTGTCATTTATCTTATGAACTTTATCACTTCTGGGATTCAGTTTCACATTTATATGGACTTGCTGATTGATCTTTGCAGCTAGACTACACTGCTGATGAACATGCACAACCAGAAAGATGAGATCAGACTAAATGAGGAATATATAACTCAGTTTAATTAATATACAACAGAAAAATAAAACATTTTCCAGGAACCAATACACAGACACTCTAACTGTGTTATGTGTCTGAAAATAGTAATGTAGATAATAGTGTGATAGCGTAGGGGGCTAACTGGCTAGCTCGATGTCATTACAGCTCACTGATCTCTCCAGTGATAAATAAAGGTTGAGTGAATGAATAAATGAAAGAGAGCCAATTAGGGGGGATTGTGGAAAGTTCAAATCTTGTTTAGATCTTCAAAGCTATAATTTGTCCCTTGTACAAAAATACACTTTGCGTCTTCGTTTCTTGTTCGACTCTGTAAATCAAATGAATCAACATTGCCAGAATGGCCCTTTTTGTTTGTTGTGTGTTAAAAGATGACCTGATAATGCTACTGCGTACCTCAGAATGCCCCACAATACACCATTCAGGTCAGGTTTTCATGTTAAGTGCAACAGGGTTATTTAGGTCTGTACAGTGTTTTACCCTGTGTCTTGAGCCGTTCCCAACATCCTCCAAAACTTAAATAAAAATGTATGCTTTTTGTAAGTGATGTTAACCACAACACTGGTGAAGGTTGTAATTTACAAAGGTTCAGGAGTTCTTTGATATGTTTCAGTTGTGGAGATGTGGCGTGCTGTAGGAATTGTGCAGGTATAATTCAGGGCAATGAGTTACTGCATGACTATTTTGTAAGGGTTTCTTACCATATTGCTCCCTCCAATATGTTAGTATGCATACTGGCTACTAGATCCTCAAGGAGAATAGACATCTTCTGTAAAAGGGAGTTTTTCATTTCCTTACAAAAACTTGGAAATGAGTTAAAGGAGTGCTGTAAGATTACTGTAGGTATTGTACAGGATTGTGAATTACTGCATTATGCTATTTTGTAAAGGTTTATTCCACAAATTAAATGGAAAAAATTAAAACTCAAACTCAAAAATCCTTTTAACTGCCCTAAGTAATGGGCAATGCACATAGTGGGACTCTTGAGTGCTCATATGTGCCTACTCAAGATTTGTTCTTTCAGTTTATTAGACTTTGATCTCAGTTTCTCAGTTGAATAATCAGACGAGTGTTGTAGTCTGGTTAGTTCCTCTGTGCTGTGTGTGATTAGCCTTTTGTTGTTGTACCTAACTGTAACCACTGAGTGGCGCTGCATGCCCATTGTTCATAACTTGCATTTGAAGCCAGGTTACACTGAATTGTAATGACAGCTATGAAAGTATATACAATAAATCTCCATTGTGCTAATGTCTTGCTGTGCACCTCATGACAAATATTTTATAAATATCGAAATTATCCTGTATTGAATGTGTGTGGTGCATGCATACCAGTAAGTAATCAATTTAATAAATAATTCCATACAAACATGGACACAACCCAATGTTTAAGGGTTCCAGCAGTTTGGACATTTTATTTGATGGAAACTTTACACCAAAAATCTTTAAAAGGACAATAAAATATTTTTTATCATACAGCAACACAACAAGATACTGAGGTCATCAGTGTGGGGTTTGGATTCCCTCCATGTTCAAGTGAGGTGGTTGAACTTCTCCTGTAGGAGAACTGATGCTCATACACGGAAATTCAATATTTTCTGTCCTTTCTTGATACAGTGAAGCTCTACAGTCTCTGTCTGTTACCTGCCCCAGAAGAGAACATGCAAGGGTCTGCGTGTGGTGGGTAGGACTGGATCTCACTGGCTCATTTTGCTTGGGGCAATTGATAGAGCCCTGTTGGCTTTGGTTGTGCCCTGTACATATTGAAGTGTGGACTCCTGAAGGGGCAAAAGAGCTGAAAGTAGTGTGATACTGTGGCTGGCCAGTGGGAGTGATGGAGGAATGGATGGGTGTCTGGGAGTTGGTCTGATTATGTGTGGGATCAGAGTTGGTTTGAACACTCAGAGATGGACGGGAGTAGACTGAATTTACTGGGGAACAAAGAGGGTGAGAGTTGCTCATTGTGGGAATAGAGGCATTGTAGGCCACCTGTGTGGCCTGACAAATCACTGGGAAGCTACTGAGGGCCAGGAGAGATGGACCTGCCTGGGCATGTGGGTGGGTCATGTAGGGAGAGTTTGGGGTTGTTCTGGAGGTTTGGAAGGGACCACACTGGCTCTGTAACCTGTGGGCTGTGCCCCCCTCTCTGTCAGAGCAGCATAGGTGTAAACAGGATGACATAGGACTTGAAGAGTGTAGCAGCGTGGGACTTCTGCCCTGGGAGGACATCCCGCTGCAGCCCCACACATTTCTGGCAGGGTGGCTGATTGCTTCATGATGGAGGTGCAGCCCAGTGGCAATATTTAAAGGGACATGGGGCTGCCAGTTGCTGGGAGCAGACACACTAGGACTGGGAGCCATCGGTATGCCATAGGAATATGAGGAGACTGGAGGGTTATAATGGAGCATGGCCATATGAGACGGTAAGAAGTGCATTATGTCGTGGAGCTCCTTGGCAAGGTTGGTTACTTCTTGGTTCAAGTTGCTCACCTAAAAAGACAAAGAAAAGTTGGCTGTATATGTACATCTACCTTTTAATAATTGGATATCCTTCATGGCAAGAATCAGTGGTACACTTGGAGGAAAATGATCAAGGCCTAGTTGTGTCAAAGACTACAGTTATGTTCCATACCTCTTTGTTCAGTTTGCTGATGTTCTGTCTCACTTCCTCTGTCTCCAGAAGCAGGTTAGCACTCACCTTGAACCGGTCTGAAAAAGGATGAAAAATAGAGAAATAGTTCGTCTCAGATAAAACCTTTTCACCACTTGGTATGCAATATATAATATGACATCTAATCCCAAATGAGTGGGATTATCGGTACTGGTTGAATAGAGAAATAATCAAATCTGATATTTTCCTATGCTTATTCAACATTGCATAATTTAGAGTTAAGCATCTGTGTTTTCAATCAAAATTTTTGCTGCCCCCAATCCAATATAGTTCACTTTTCATCCAGTGTACAGCTTGCAGAGACTTTACCTGCTACATTAGTCTTTGTCTCGCTCTGCTCTACATTAAATTGAAATGCGTGACCATTGTCCTCAATTCCATCCACGACCCTAGCAGAGACACAAATCAGTGTTACACAATTCTAAATAGATGCAAACTAAATTGCTGAATCATATTTGGGTAAAGCAGGATAAACAGGTTACCTGGGGCTTAGGTTCAGTGGACTAACACAAGGTAAGGATGGCATGAGCAGCTTGGCAGGCCGATGGTTCAGGCCAGAGTCAATGGTAAGCCTGGGTAAAGGAGACGGAGAGAGCTCCTCGTTGTGGAATGGCTGAGGAGAGGGGCTGCGGCCTCTACCGTCCTGAACAGGTGACCGACAGCGGCGGAGTGCACTGATGTGGCGGAGCTCCTCTCCTAACAGGGTGCTAAGGCAGGGCTGATGAACAGGGCTGCCTGCTCCTTGTAACAGAGGCACTCTCCTCTGCTGAGAGTGTCTCATGTCTTCTCCATGTTCCGCATCATCTGCCTCAATAATATAGGGTAGTTTGTGGTCCATAGAAGCATGGCCCTGAGGAGATGATAGATAGCAAATTAGGTGTTGTTGTTGACATTTAATGGAGGCTGCAAGAGTTTTAAAGTTGCAAGGATTCTTTTTTTTTTAACAATATACCCTTTATATCAGTGTATGAATAGGGCTAAAATATGCAGTAGGGAGGAGCTCAATTTAATTTCTGGTGCCAAATATGGAAAAAGAATACATATTTGTAAAGAATGCTAAATCAAAATACAAAGGGCAAAATCCAGAGCTTTCTCTTCTGAAAAGAACCAGAAACCAAGAATAGAAAACAAACAACTACAGTCTTGCTATATTAGTAAGTGAACTTTAGATGTTATTGTCATTTCTACTTTGCATTAGCATGCAAGCTGGCTAAAAAACAATCTTTCTGGGGCAAACAGTAAACCCTCATACCTTCTGGATAACAAACTGTGCACACAAACCTGAAATTAAGGAATACAGTAAAGCCTACTCTGCCTCTTATTATAAACGTGTCTCATTGATTTTGACAGTGTCATAAAGCCCCTTTTTAGGCTCCTTTTGAAAAATCATTTAGTTGGCTTGTGCACGTTAGCTTAAAGTTTAATCTCTTGATTATCAAATTAGTCTTGCTTGTTTAGTCCATTTTCCTTTCTGTTTCTTTCAGTTAGCAGCATTGTAGCTACCTTTATCTCAGCTATGTACATGCATCCAGGTAGTTAATATGCCATTTTCCACAATTACAGAACGACAACAGTTCTATGTTTTCAGAAAAGCAGACTAATGCCTTGTGATGTAAATACAGATTTTCATTTAACTGATTGCCAGATGAATCACACAGATCAGAGCTGAAGTAATTACCTCAGTGATGCACACATACCTGAGACAGCCGAGAAGACCATGGAAACTTTTTTATTCCCTGGAGATATTGAAGTTAATTAACAAGGGATTACACACACATTCTATATTTGGTGGCAAATTACAGGTATGTTGTTAATGAGCAAAGAAATTAGTCAATTGTAATTTCAGTCTGTCTTTGCAGTGTTTTCCACTTTCTTACGTCAGCTTCACTGCCCTCTCTCAAGTTGTAGGTGAGGTTGTGGTGGATGTCAGAGCTGAACCGGCTGCCATATTCTGGATACAGCCCGAGGACATCCCTCAAAGCCCTGACACTGATGTACTGCAAGTCACAGTAGGTCAGCGCCTTCACGTCTGCATTCGTCTTGATCACCTGGTCATTTTCTGGAAGGTCGGCCCCAATGAGGTCACCTTTGCCTGTAGGGATTGTTGATTATAACGAGGGGTTACAACAAGGTGCAATGAGTAAGAGATGAAATGTTTCACACTTGGTGCACACTGACCCAGGATGGCTAGGACCATGCCATCTTTCAGAACCTCCAGAGAACCCGAGCAGACAAAATAGTTGGCTTGTAGGGCATCTCCGTGGCGTATAAGGTATTCCCCTGGAGCACAAAAGGAGGTCTTGATGTGCAGGGAGAGGGAGCGCAGACACCCTCTGCTAGCTCGCTCAAATACAGGCAGCTGCAGGATGTCTTTGTTCAGATGCATGGCGATGTCAGCTCGTAGTTCATCTGGGAAGTCATGCAGCAGCTAAGACAGAGAGAGGACAGGACAGAGTAAATAAGACTTCAATCATCATTACAATGCATTTGGTAGAGAAATGCATCTGCTACACTGTTTCAGGAGTTACAAATATCCCCAACCTCTCTGAATGATATCACTATCTCATTTTAGTGATGGACAAATAAAGACGCTACCCATTGACAAGATGCTTTTACACAAAACCGTATGCACAGACATCCATGAAAAGCATCCGCATCAGTACAACAGGAGCAATCTGACTCATCTGTCAGTGTCGCACTGGATCTGGTCAGTACTACATGTATGCACTTAGAAGTGTTTTGCTGGCAAGTATTGCCTAATACACTAACAACATAGACACCTCTTTAAGTTAGACGAAAATACAGTTGAAGCTTAAAAAGATGCTTCTTCTAAAAACTTGTAGACAGTTAACAGCTGCATTAGTTAAAATTGTGTGTGCATCTATTCTGTCAAACAGATGTGAGACAGACAACCGAAAAACATGGCAGAAAGACATCTGTTGTAAGCCGGGTGCAGGAATGAAAACCCATCCCTGCTGTTTTATGTAGATTTTAGCCACTTTCAGCTTATAGTTTTGGTTGTTCAGTCCACACATCAACTGAGTATGGCTGAAACCCAGATATTGAAGCAGGAACCAAACCAGAGTTGAAAGGCAAGCAAATAAATCGGTGGAATACTCATGTTACTCTATTTCAGGAAAAACGTCACTTGGTGCTTTAATTGAAGACTTTAACTTGGAACTTGGACATTTCTGCCTTGAGTTACTGATACTTTAATTAGCCTTAAATATCTCAATACTTGGTCCACTACTGCTAAATACAAGACCAGGAAAAAAAAAGGTTGATGCACTAACATGATGTGCCAAGCTGCTCAGTAAAAACAAACATGAGGTGTTAAAGCCAGCACTTCATCAGAAACTAGCGACTGTGTCTGTTACCTTCTACAGTGAATTAATTATCTACAGATGGTGGTGGCGAGGGTGTTAATGACTATTCTCTCTATTTCAACTCCTGCTTTTGTAATTACAGGGAACTTCTCCTGGATCGGTTCTGGTATTGTTACCGAAGTTCTATTTGCAACAACGTGCAGTCTACTTAAGGAAATGGAATAAGACTCCAGAGAATTTGAGGTGACCCACATTGTAAGGATGACATTTCTGAGTGTATCTAGCACCCACACAAAAAGATTTTTTTTCTTCACGAAAAAGAAATTTCTGCAGCCCACATATAAGACAGTTCACATACAGTAGAGTTGCTCATTAAAAAGAGATTCACTTCAACAGAAACAACTCTTATTAAGGCTTAAATACTCACAATACAACCATGAGAACACTACTAATTTGTGAATCTTAACCCACCTCATTGGCGTTGATGCCATTGTTGACTGACCAGGTGGCCTGAAAGTACTCCAGCATCCTCTGCTTCAGCTGCTGAGGTAGCCGATGCACACGGATGAAGTCCTTGAGATCCTTCATCCGGGTGTGGTAGAGAGAGCGCCGTGAGTACATGCGCTGGATGATGGCTGTTACGTTGCCGAAGACCACTGCGTGCATCAGGGCTGGAGGTGCAAGAGGGAGGAACATTATGATATCCACAGAAGATTAATCAACATTCTGGAAATTTTTCAGTTGACTCACCGCCCATTAGCATAATGCAGATTGAGAAGATTTTCTCAGCATCTGTATTGGCACACACATTGCCAAACCCGACACTGGTAAGGCTACTGAGGGTGAAGTAGAGAGAGGCAATATAGGCGCTAGGAATGGAGGGCCCACCCATGGTGCTGTTGATGTATGGTTTCTCTAGGCGCTTTCCCAACTCCTGAAGCCAACCTGGTGGATGACGTCAGAAAATGGCATTAGAAGACTAATGTGGGAGTCTTAGGTGACTTAATGTATTGTAGAGAAGTAGTCTTAGTCAGCTTCAGAGGATGACCTACCTCCTTTGTTAGGTAATATGATGGGTATTGAGTGATATAATCTAGAATACATTATATTTCTGGTGATATAATGGAATTACTCTGTGATCTACACTTCCTCTAGAGGAGACAGGCTAGTGGTTGAAATGATGCTGAAGCATTCAGGCATTCAAGCGTGACTAGCAGTACTGACCCATTGGGGTTGCCATGAGAGACACTAAAAATGTCTCAGGAAAGCTTAATGAGTAAGGAAGAACATTATACTCGTGATTCAGTGATGTTGGAGCTGTCAAACACACACAGACACGCACACACAAAGTGCTCACCTATGTCCCAGGTAACAGGGTCACTGCTTTCTATCTCCTTGCGCCCGATGACATACCAGACACATGCCATCCAGTGAGCCAGCAGAGCAAACACAGACATGAGCAGGGTCAGGACCACAGCGCTGTACTGGGAGTAGCGGTCCAGTTTCTGTAACAGGCGCAGCAGACGTAGCAGACGAAACGTCTTCAACAAGTGCACCAGTGAGGCCTGGACGAGGAGAGCAGAACACACATCATTTTGTGTCACTATTACTACACTAACTACACTACAATTTTAGTTCACTTTTGCTCTGTTATATAAATTCATTAATATGACCTGTGGCCCATCCTCTTTTCTCTTCTAACCTTGATACTGTGTCTTTTAATAGTCTCTACTGAGAAACACTTTTTAACTGGACTCATTTTCAACAAAACCAAAACTGCAGTTACAGAGATGTCTTTGTGTGTCAGCTGAGGCCTTTGGCAAAGTAAGACTAATCCATGAGAAGTACTAGTGTTTATCTGGAGAATAGAACTGAAGTGAGCAGGCAAACAAGGATGCTCAGTGAAGTGGCTGAATGTAGAGGGATAATCATTTCCAGTCCAATGCTCTGGGGGAATAACACTACTAAAACTGACACATTAGTGACTGGTCTTTAAATTGGTGCTCTTAAAAAGACAGTAAAGTATAAAACCTAGCATAGTATACTTCAAGATATGTAAAACAACAATCTTACCACTGTGATGTTGAAAGCATAGAGAAGGTCAAAGGGCAAAGCTGCGATCAGATCCACAAAGAACCAAGTGGTGCAGTAATGGAGATAGATGGATCGGGCGTCGTACACTACCTGACCTGACTGACTCACATAGGTGGTGCGGAAATTCAGGATAATATCTGAAAAGCAGCAGTGAAAACAGAAGCAAAGGACATTTATCACAAAAAAGAAATAATAAGTAAAAAGGCCTAAAATGGGGAGTTCAATAGGACTATAGGTCAGGTACATACAAAAATAATTTATAAGTAAATGAATTAGTAATAAACACTTCAGAATTATAAAATAGGTGTTTCATTTGTAGCTCACTAGGGAAAGGAGTGAAATGAAAAACAAGTATAAATGATCTTTAAAATTAATAGAAAATTGAAAACAAGAAAAACTTTTTCTAGCTCTACATGGATGATTATTAGCATTAGCAGTATTTCCATAGTATCTTAACGTATGACTCAATTTATATAATACATCCCTGACCCCTAACTTTTTCCTTGAAAAGGCAAGCTTTTCTTTTGTTTATTGCAATACGATTGAATATAGAGAGCATGTGAATGTAAATGAAACTGGATCAGGGACAAGCATTTGACATTTAGCATTACTCCACTCTAAATGGATAGATAGAGAAACAGTGTGTGATACCAGGTGAGTTCATTTCGAGCATGAACATCCCTGTCTGTCCCTAGATGAAAACTTGTTGAAAGAGAGGAAGTCAGCCTCATAACAGATGTGCTATCACACTTCCTTTAGAGGAAAAGTGGGATGAAGTGAGAGAAATCTAATTATGATTGGTAACCTGGGGCAACAGAGACACCCTGAGTGGGCGAGAAAAGGTAGGAGGTTTAGTTATGTGTTAGCCATTGCCAAGGAAACCACTGCAGCTGCACTGGAAAATATATTTTATTCTTCATTTAAACTGAACATTGTTGTCTCTGCATAACACTGCTCAAGATGCTTATACATAAAGGTCAGATGGTGTGCAGCATGCAATCAGTGTAGGAGATGTTACTTTAAAATTATAGTGGTACAAGCTACCAATTATCTCACTGAAAAAAGAATACAATCGCCTACTATCTGGAGAAAGACTTTTGTTTTGTGGAAGTTGGTTACAAGTTCTAGTTCAAATCAAATATGAATATATCGTACCGAGTATGAAGAGCATCTCTACTGCTATATCACTGCCAATAGTGCTGCGACTGACAAGTGAGTGATGGTCACCGCCCTCATCATGATTGACAAAGCAGATGTCATAAGGCACAGCAACAGCAACATAGAAGGTCGCCAGTAGAATTAGCCAGTCCCATAGGGCCTTGGAGATGCTGTAGTGTAGCAGGATGAAACGGGACTTCTTCACCGCTGCGACCTTGTACTCAGGTAGAGACGGTTTCTGAAACACGCTCTGAAAGACATGGCACATACAAATCACATACAAATCCTGAAAGCATCACAAAAAATTGAACACTGAAAAATGGAAAGTATGAGATTTTAATCTGCAGAGCTCTCACTGATTTCCTGCTGACTCGACACAGTTGGAGAGAGGAAGCTCATTTTATAAACTTACTTAATCTTACAAATATGAAGTGCTTGGGTTATATTTACAGCCACCTTGAATCCTGAAACCAAATTTTAGAATGAAAAAGGACAAATAATGTGAATTTTCTTCAGTCTATGGAGGCAGTGCTTGCATGCAGTAATTAGCTCAGCATGAAACACTGAGGGTAGCCAGTAAACCTGCTTATGATCATCCATCTTCATCGTCATCACCATCATCATAACATTTTGAATCCATTTTGTATAGATTTGAATAAACAAGTTTTGAGCAGACCAGGCAGTTTCCAGTACAACAATATTGCATATCTTTTGACAGTAATTGTAAAAAATATTTGGTAGAAAAACAAAAATTTGTGATGAATTAATTAATTGGAATATTATTTAAAAAGACCTGACTACATTGCCTGGCGAATACCACAACTGGAGCAGCCCTTGATTAAAATGTCATCTGTATTTACATGATAAATCATGTAAAAGTTTAGCTATTAAGAGAGCAAATGCTTTTATTTCAAGGAAAGTTGCCAAACGTCACTTAGCAATAATCAATGAGGACATATTGAGACTCGTACTGTATGTATATGGTAGGTCTGATGATCTTTAAGCCAGGAGTTAGCACTCACATTGGTCAGCTTCCTCTTGCCCCGCTTGGTGAACAGGTTGGTCATTTGGTGCAGAATAGTCCTTCCCCTCTCTCGAGCTTGGGAAAAGTGTGAGCGATTTCTCTTCCTGCTCTGGTGAGCAGCCTCTGACATACCTGTGAGCAAAAAAAACACACACGTCTTCCATTTGGCTTTAAATTGTATGAAGGATAATGGCAAACTGACATTTTGAAGATGATATAGTCTAAATTAATGTGGGACTGTTAACAGTTATTAAATGCATGTAGCCAGGCCTCACCTTCTCCTTGGCTGAAGTGATGACTTTTCCCATATGATTCACTGACATCTTTGAAGGATAAGAGGAACAGCACCACCTCACCTTTCTCATTTTTAATTGGCACAATATCCAGGAGGCACCAAAATGAATTTCCTGAGGATATTAAAAAGTTATTACTTTGAGATTATCCAGCAATACAGCTATACAGCTTCTTACCCCCAAAATGATGATTGGATTTCTATTAAAAAAACTTTTATTGTAACGTCTCACCTCATCTCTTCTGTATGTGTTCTGAAATTGCTTTCCTTAAAAATAACTGTCCTCACAATGATAGATTCAGGCCATCATCACAATTTTTCACGTGTACTTTTTTAGGACACAAAAGTAGGAGTGCATGCCCGCTCAACATCTGGGTGAATATGATTCTCACCATTTTTCCTATAGAAGCAGACTTCTCCCTGGTACTCCTGCTGGCCCTCCAGAGCTTTGTCAACCTGCTGGATCACACTCTCGGTGGTCTCGGCTCCATGGAGGAAGCTGCAGGTACAAGTTTTCTGCATCACCTCAGTCCGAACAAAGCCGGTCAGCTCACAAAATCCATCAGAGCAGTACACAATGGGGTAACCATAACGACCCTGAGCATTTCCCAGTAGGAAGTTACTGTCTGCAAGGGAAATAAAAGAGGTTGGAGGTAAAGCTTCTGTGTGACACTGGTAAATGAAATAGACTGATTGAGCACTGAGGCAATATTCTGTGGTTTTCTAACTGCACAGCTGTGACACAGCTTGAGATAGCTGCAGCTCTGAAAATATGACATTCAGACAAGGCGACCAGCAGGTTCTTTGGTTGACTCTTCTCTTTCCCCATCTTCCTCTACATACTTCTCTCCAGATTTGATTCATTTGTTGATGCAGCAACAGAAAACAACTTTTTTTATCTGAGTCATTCTATTTGCTTTCAGCTCAGAGCTTCCGAAATAGTCCAGTGTACATCAGAGCGGCCTTTGAAGTAAGCTGGTGGTGTGTATGAAGTCTAAGGATATATGCAGGGGCCCAGCTGGCTCCATGGGGGACCAGTGCCTCAGTGAGGCTTTGGCCCTTAATTAGCATGTGAGGCATGTTTTCATCCTGCCACCAGTTGTGCAATAGATTTAGTATATATATATACACACACACACACACACACACACACACACACACACACAATTGAGAACAATGTCATTCATCCATCCATTTTCTGACACTTATCCAGGGGCCAGGTTAGGGTGGCAGCACCGTTTTACAACTCCTCCTGAGACATCCCAAGGAGTTCCCAAGCCAGATGAGATAAATAATGATCCAGTGTGTTTTGGGTCTAGCCCGGGATAAGGCTGGAAAACCTCCAAAGGAGTTTTTCTTCATACTTACCACTTACACTGCTTACACTCAGTGGTCACTTTATGTACACCTAACTAGCAGTGCCTATTAAATTACAACAGTCCTGTTTTTTTAGGATGAATAGTTATGTATTGTTATGTGAGTATGGGCTAAATGACAAAAACAAGATGAATCAACCTCTCTAAAACCATTAAAACAAAAACTAAACATTAGAACCTTCATGAAGGTTCGATTTATTTCAAGACTGTTGTATTAGACTGGATTAGTTTCGGCTTTGTGTACCTAATAAACTTCCAGTCGCCAGGCAACCAGACGAGACTCCAGGCAGTTACTGGTTCCGATCAAGAAATACCCTGACACATAAAGCCATATTGTTGTTTTTTACATAGGCAATTGATAAGAAAGTATTAATTAGGAGTATTCTGGTACATGGACAGAGACAGTTTAGCTGTTTCCGTTTCCAGTCTTTGTGCTAAGTTAGGTGGCTGCTAGTGGTAGCATTCACAATTTTTACCGTGACAATGCTATCAATCTCCTCAACTTATAGCATGAAAATAAATAAGCATATTCCCCAAAAGTGTAATTCACCTAAAGCTCCAATGTGTAAGAGCCGGCAGAGCAAGAGCTTCTGGAGGAATAAACACCCGTAGTCACACCAGATTCTGCTCTGATCCTCCGGTGGGAGGAGAGATCAGAGTTTATATTTTAACTTTGGGGATTCAAAAGTGGATTTATCTTCACTCTAGCTTCTCAACCTGTCTGCAGCGAGCAGTGGTAATACTATTTCATATTTATACAGAGACCATGTGGCCAGGAATTACACATTGCACCTTTAAAGATGTTTCAGACAAATTAGCAAGTAGACCTAGTTAGTTAAAAGCTGTTATTAAAGATTGATTCCTTATTCCTGCAACAAAAAACATCTCATGGACCAAGAAAACATTTTTCTTTCACACACAGCTCAGAGCCATATTTTAACAAAAACTTTAATATTCAGTTGTTACATAACAGTACATGCTCCCTCAGGACAAGAGAGAGAATATTTCTGCATCTGAAGGATACTTTTATGCCTGAGAAATAATGGTGGACATGAAGATCTTTGTGAAATCAATTCTGACAGATACTTGAAAATGAAAGCCTTGCTTGAAAAGAGAAACACCATTAAACATTGCTGCTCACTGCTGGAACACTGAAGAGTCATTTTAGGGCATATCTTGTAGATGATGAAGTAGAAGAAAATAATCATGAAACTGCAATTCCACAAAGCACTGAAGTTAAGCTGCAAGATGTTGCATGCAATGGAGCGAGCATTTTGTAATGAGTAAAAAAAAAAAGCCTACCTAATTTAATCCGTTCCTTATGAGCTGCAGAATGATTAAAACTAAAGTGTATGGGGTCATGCAGTGTTAATTTTAAAGAGAGACAACAGCAAAATCTCGCCATCATCAGAGTCCACTGAATGGTCTTGATTTCATTTATTCATTCAGTTGGTCTCTGAATGAATGTGGATTAAATTTCCAACAGGCATCTTTGACTATGCTGCAAAAACACTATAATGATGATATATTTGCAAAGACAACAATGAACACCTGCACTGCAGCTAGTTTTAATGAGAGTGATGCTTTGTTTTTTTCCCCTAAACCTAGAAAAGTAAACACTTACAGATAGTATCACAGTTTGTTCAGATGCATGCAGTTATAGATTCAGCTGATCCATTTTATGTGATTTTGAAACCCAAAAATTAATTACTAAGCAGGCATCAAGGGGGTGTTAGTGTGTGTTTGTTCCAAAGGAAAGGACATGCAATTAGTAATGTGTAAATATATTCTACCTGGTTAAGTGTGCAGTTTCTCTCACAAGAAACTAAATTAAGATCTTTTCCAAGCTCGTGTTGCCATAGCAATTTATGTAGAAAAAAAACAAAAAACATATGGCAATCTTGCAATTTGCATCTACGGGGTTGCCAAGGCACTGTGCCCTCTGAAACACAGATGTAGCCAATAAAGTATCTGCAATATTAGCCTCATTCTGATTCTTATTCACTGCATTTGGCAGATTTGAATTACTCTAATTGCTAAAGTGCTTACAGCATGAACAACCAAGGATTTGGTGAAGATAAATTAACTCCTCAGCTAAAACTGAAGCCCTTTAAACCCATTGTGCAGATTTCCTTCAATTACCTGATCACCTACTCACATCAATTTGATCAATATTGATGCAAATCAGTCAGATTCCTGTATCAACTGTAAGGTTCATTAACGAAGATACGTCTTCCCTCACATTTCTTACCACCAAATGTTGGGTCCTGTCTCTAAATCCACTCTTTCCTCTCCCTCAGCCTGTTTCTATGGATCCATGTTATTCAAGAGGACAATATGGTTCACACTGACAGCCATCAAAGTCTGTCTGGCCAAAGAATTGTGCGAGTGAAACTTACCCACAGTGATTTCTTGCCAGTAAATGCTCATGCCTAAGTCTAGATAGAGATAAATGATGTAGTGAATCATACTTTAATAAAAGAATTTCAATTTCTTCGTCACTGAATCACTTTTATCCTTGTTATATCACCAGTTCTACTGGGCGTTCTCCTATTTGCTTCCTTTCAGTGAAATTGCAGTCACTCATACACAATAATTATTGTCACTAATTATTGATGACAGCACTTATGACAAGGAATGCAATTCCAACACCTACGAGGCAATTAGCAGAAGAGGCTGTCGACAAGGAGGGTAAAAAAAACAACCTGGTACTGTACAATTATAACACTGACACAATTAAAAATCTAGATCTATGAAACACTTGACCCCGGAGTCAACTGTAAAGTAAAGAAATAAATATTATTATTGATATCATAAATGATACTCTAAAGTCTCTAAATGAATAATATAATTGTTTCTGCTTTCAAAGAGGATGATGGAGCAAGACCTCTGATGACATTTGACTGGCTCTTGGCCTATGCATAATTCATATTAATTAATTTCCCTGCTCACATATCAGGGTCATGTGAATACCACCTCCATTCCCCTGAGCCCCGCTTTAATTCACATTCACACAGTGGGCATTTGTATTATTTCCTATCAAGATTTGAGTCGAAATAGACTTTCAGCTCTGCCCTTATCCCCTTGTCTTCCATCACGCAGAAAGGCTTTCAATTCAACCGAGACAGAGATTCAAGGCAGTTCTTATACTGAATAGTGCTCTGCTCTCAAACCATCTCTTGTCAGTTGGCCTCTTCACCTCCCACTCAGCGACTTGATCAATCCACACACTTGTACATCTGGTACAGTATTGTGGCAGCTCAGAGAGAAAATGTCTGCTGTGCTGATGTGTGTACAGTTTGTGCAAGTCTATACATGTGTGACTGTCTCATACAGAAAGCGAGAGAAAGGCGATGTGAAGAAGGGATGGACGATGTGTGTGAGAGAGAGATTGGGAGATGCAGACAGAGATGGTGCCATCACTCTGAATTTGTGAATTTGTTAAGTTGTAAAGGACATGCACAGTCTGACCCATACACACACTCTCTCACACCTTTCATCATGTTCTTGAAAGAGCTGTCCAGCGCCTGCTGATGACTTTCTACTTTGATTCTGAGGCATGGTGCACACTAACAGACTTGGACTGGCAGGAGCAAAGCATAAATGAACATAATAAATGAACACTCATTGCTGTTGAAGCATGAAGATAAACAACCACCTTCTAACTGTTAGGCTCTATGTTATACAATAACACAGACCAGCATTGTTAATGCATGTTAAGGTCGGTGAGTGTGTATCTGAGTGCATCTACTATTATATTCAGGTGCCGCAAAAAGGTTATGTTAAAAGTTGAGTTAAAAAGAATTAATAAAACAAGGAAACTCCAAATAGGAAAGTAATGTTGTGGAACCACTTTGGATTTGATGTGTTTTTTAAAGTTGAATTTACATTTTTGGAGTTATTAAAAGTTGATATCTGTATACAGATATCTGCAAGATTTGTAGAAAAATAACAGTAAAAAAGGCAAAAGTAGTAGAGTAAAATTTGTAAAATTATTAAAGTAAGATTTGTTTTTTCAGGTCTCAAATGTTTTGTGTTTCATTTGTTTTAGTATTAAGTATAATTCTGTAATTATCTTTAGTCTGTGCTTGCTGGTGGAATCACATAATTATTAAATGAGTGAAACTGTGCTGAAAGATTGAGACGTCTATTTTCAGCAGCAACAATTTCCACTAAAATATGAACACCTCCGTTGCCTCATATGCATGCACCTTGCATTTTGTTGCGCCTCTCCTGCCACCTTACCACCATGTTCCCTACGCACAGTACCAAAATGATGTACAAAGCAAATATCAAATTCAGTAAAAAAACAAACAAAATGCAATTGTCTGTCCTGCCACAAAAAGTTATTGAAGGTTTTAAAGTGTAATGTTGAAGAAGAATATGTGAGAAACAGGTTAAAAACTGCTGAAAACATGCAGAAATTCCCAGGCAAGAGTGTGGATAAAGTATTATTTATTCAGTAGATTTTGAATTGGAGGAAAGATAACAAACGTAAGTTCTACAGCCTTTAATATTGCTGTTGAAAGATACCATTTAATATTTCTTTGTTTGTTCATTTTAAAGGGAGAACTTGACTGAAAAAATCTCAACAAGTGGCTCATCGGTTCCATTATATCATCCTAGAAGGACTCCATTTCTAGTTCTGGTTTACTGTCATAAGTTGCACTCTTATAATTGGATCTCACTACTTTTGACACATTTGTCGACAGAGGTGTTTTTCAGTGCCAGTCACAATCCTAAAGTGGGTTACAAAAAAGCCAGAGGCTAAAATCCTAAAAGCTACAGTGGGCTTAGCTGGTAGACTTCAAAACTGAGACACATTTCTTTTTCTGATTTTAATTTAATAATGTGTATCTCTAAAGAAAAAGTTTAAAACACAGTGACTACCATTTAGTTTTTTTTTTGTCTGTCTCACAAATAACATTTAACCTGCAATCCTACTGCCTATTAACATTAACATATGCAATGTAGTAATTCTTTACTTAATTTTTTTAAAATTTAATTAATTTTCTTTTTACAAATCATACAAGACTATTTGCTAGGTCAATTGTAGGGTACAAAATAAACATAAAAATATACTTACGAGTGCCATCAAAGTGGTTTGCAATGGTGTCCAAGAAGGTGTTTTGTGGTGCAAGGAGGCCCTTCATCACAGGCATCTTGTATTATATTAAGATAAGGCTTCAGACTCGCAGACTACAGTTCCCATTAGTTTGTCGCCATTCCCCAAAGAGAACCTGAAAGAAAACCACGGCCGTGCCTGCTTTCAACTCCTCCACAACGTTTGAATGGAGTGCAAGTTGTTTCTATGCTATGTTGTCCAAAAAAACCCACTAACTTGCATCACACAGAAATATCATTTGTTCTTCGTAAGAGAGCTCGCAGATGTTGTTGTTCTCTAAAGCTTCTCTCTCAGTATTGAGTCAAGAGCTTTTCGGATTCAGTTGCGCATCCCTCTGCTCTCAGCACTACTCCAGTATCACAGCGAAGCCTCAGCTTCTCTTCCCTCAGCCTAACTCCACTCACCATGGTTCCTGCCATCTCTGAGTCCCTTGCCTCTCTCTCTCTCCCTCCCTCTGTCTCTCATACAAAAGCCTGTACCATCCCCCTTTCCGCACACAGTGTATTTATTAGTTATCTCTCTCACCTTCTCTCTTTCTCATACAAAATGTGCATCCACCTACTTCTTACTCCCCAGAGAAGTTATTAGAAATCACTTCATCATCTCTCTACCTCTGTGTCTTTCCTAAAGCTCCTTATTGCGAGAAGATGCTGCTTTGTTGCCTGTCGAATCATTAATATGTTGTCCAGAAGGAGTGTATATTTTGACTTTTCTTCTGCTTTTCAATGGATGCATAGAGGTCAGAGGTCAGGTTGAAAAAAAAAACAGCCGTTCTGAATAATGATTCACTGTCTGGCTCAATGACACTACAGTAAATCCACTGCTAAGCCTGATGTCGTCAGCAGCTTGAATGATCGATCAGCCTGCTGTCTGTTTCACCACATATAACACATTTACTTTGCTACCTATAGGGTACATAAACAAATACCCACACACAAACACACTGATAGTTGCTGTAGTATAAGACAATGTACAGGCACACACCCACTGATGGCATTTCTAAAGAAAAACACACACTGGTTCTTGTATACCCCTTTCAATTAGCACTTTTCTCCACATTCCAGATGGGCGTGTAAAGCTGGTGTGCACAATCACACATCCACTGAGACCTGACATTTCTTAAATGCATAGGTGATTAAAATCTTATCCATGAAAAGGTAGAAAAACGAGCCTATTAAAAATGGTGTTAGTTTTCACATCAAAGGAATTTTAGTTTGAACTGAAACATATTTGGTCACATACTGATCCACATAAGAGTCATTTTGTTAGATTTAAAGTACGTTTAAAGCCAACAGAGGCAGTAATATAATAACTATGGTAAAATAAGTTGAGACAAGGTGTTGCTCAGCAGTAGTCCTACTTCGCAATGTGTCGTAGCTGCAGATCCTTCATAACTGAGTTCCCAGTCAGACAGCTGTCTAAAACAATCTGGCTCGCCTTAATTTGAATTCACTGCAATTTCAAACTGCATTGTGCAAAATAAAATAATTTCTGCTCTCATAGGGATTAGTGGAAGGTCCAGGAAAGGAAAATCAATAAAAATGTACCCCAAAAAAACAAACACAAACATGTGTGTAAGTGTGGGTATCATGCAGTAGCTACATGATACTATGATAGATACTTTGTTCAGGAACGTTTCCACAACAGCTACAGTAATCCCAGATTCTCAATAATTTTCTACAATGTGTAGTTGTTGATTATTTTATCCATTTACCCTGTGGACATGAACGGAAAGTTTCATTCAGCATCATAAAGCACGCCCAAGCAGAAACTAGTCTTTGTTAGTTTGGTCTATTCAACATGAAAATCGTGATTATTTTCAAATTTAAAAAGCAGATTTTAAAACACAAAGGTGCTATTTCAGACATCTGAGAGGAACTTGATGAACAGTGATACAAACCTTGATGGAAAATGAACTAAATTAATTGCTTGACGGAGAGAGGGAATATGAAAAACGCCTGCATTATGAATAATAATATTCTTCGCACAGTGTTCTTGTGCATTAAAAGTGCTATGTTTTGAACCCCAAGGATTATTTATGTATGTAAGGCTTAAACAACGATTGTTCTTAAAGAAGCATTTCATCCGTGGAAACATTAATCTTTATTG